ACTTGAGTCGGTGTAACCCACTAGTTTACATTATTTTCCTTAATTAGCTACACGAAATGGAATGTCATAGTCAAGATTTCCTTTCAGATGCCTCAGTATCCTCTTCATTGTTACTAGGTGTGATACCTTTGACTTCTGCATGAATTTACTTACCATACCTATAATGTATGCTAAGTCAGACGTTATGTGACAAAGGTATCTTAGTGACCCAATAAGTCTTTTGTATTGGGTTGGATCAACATCATCTGAATCTGAATCTTTCACCATTCGTAGTCTTGGTTCAGTAGGTGTCGAAGTTGAGTTGTATTCTTCCATCTCAAATATCTTGAGAATTTCACTTATATCTTCTTTGATGCATCATCAAACTTCTACTACTCTTGTAGAATTCGATGCCAAAGAAATGTTAAATATCTCCCAAAATATGAAATTTTGAATTCCTTGCTGAGATCAACTTTGAAGTCTTCGATCTCCATCTTGCAGCTATATATTATTAACAAGTCATCGACAAAGAGACATAGTATAAGAAATTCCCTCTTTCTTCTTCTTACATATACTCCATGTTCAGTTGTACACTTCACAAATTCCGTCTCCCTTATAAAGTTATCTATCTTCTTATTCTAAGCTCTAGGAGGGATGGGGATTGTAGTTATTTCTACTTATAGGGGTATAATGTCAGATCGAGAGGCTCGAATAGAAAGAATTGGAGGATAATTTTTATGTTATATATGGTAATGCTAATTTTGCCGATATCTGAATTATATGAAAAAAAACTTAGAGCCAACAATATTGTGAATGGAGGGAGTAGAGGAAAAACAGATTTTCTAATATTATTCATGATACATTAGTGAATATGGGAAGAGGTTTTAACTAGAATAGAAATGAAAATTAATGAAGATTAAATTAATTAATAACTTTTGAGGGTATGTTGCAGGTTTCTTTAGAGAAATAGAATTCAAATCAGATTCTAGGTTATGTTTCCACTGGATACGACCAAAAAAGGAAGTATAGTTGACTCCATTCGATTAGACTATTTTATAACTTCAACATATTTTTTAGGAGGAACAATTTTAAGTTCAAAATTTCAAGAAACCTTATTTTCTTCCAATCTATAAAATTCGTATTCAATTTAATTTAAGGAGTGAAAAATATGAAAGTGGCGGCCTTTGTTCGTAAAATTTGTGAAAAATGACCATACAGGGCTTTATGCAGTTTGTACACCTTTCTCCCTTTGTCTTGTTTCACAAACTCAACTGGTTATGCAACATAAACTTCTTCATCTAAGGGTCTATTTAGGAATTCAAATTTTTCGTCCATCTAACATATGTGCCAACTGTTCATTTTTGTTAGACCAATAACTAACCTGATTGTTTCGATTCTAGAAACGTGTTCAAAGACTTCATCAAAGTCAATTCCTTATTTCTGAAGAAATCCTTTTGCCACAAGTCTTGCCTTGTGTCGAGTTACTTCCCATGTGGGATTCAACTTCACCTTGTATACCCACTTGACATCAATTTCCTTATTACCTTGAGGCAATTTAACAAGTGACCAAGTGTTATTGGCTTTGATGGACTTCAATTCCTCATTCATAGCTTTCACCCACTTTGAATCCTTCAATGACCCAGCTTCTTTGACTGGTTCGACATCTACATTGAAAGTATAGTGTACCAGCTCGCCTTTATTATCGACCACATCATCTGATGTAACCACACAATCCTGCAACCTTGCAGGAATACGTCTTGTTCTTCGAGTTCTGCTTGGACCTACTTCACCTCTGACTTCTTCTTGTCAAACTTCTTCTCTTTCAACTTCAGTGACTGGTTCTTCACAAAAGATTCTAACTTATGAACAAGATTCAATCAACCCGATCGAAATCCCCTGTTCTTCACTCTTTACTTGAGTGAATCAACCAACATTGGTCAGAAGATGATTCTGCGCATCAATTGTTAATGGAAGGAGAAAGAAAATTGGGAAGAATGAGATTAGAGTTTGAACAAAATAGGGGAAAAGGAAAACTATTTTCAAGCAGAGTTTCTCTATGCTCACAATCTTGTGATTTTATTATGCAATTGCAAGTGATTACAAAAATAGGGGTTACTCCCTCTATTTATATTTTTAGGTTAGCTTTCTCTCAAAATCAAAACTCAAAACACAAAAGCTCAAAATAACCTATTTTGGTCTAAGTCGAAATCCTGAGCCAAACAACTTACTTCGACACTTCGACATCTAATATAACTCGACACACACTAGATTAATTCGACACACTCCTATATCTGTGAACAACATACTACTTCGACACAAAAGATTATCATCTCAACAACGATTACCACTGTTATGACCATAATCACCAGGACGACGACAACCACTAGTGTTGTTGTTTTTTAGTTTGATGTGATGAGAATACATGAAATCCAAGTCATTGTCATTCTTATTTACTTATATATTTTTGTTGACTTCAACATGTATTTTTTATTTTTTTGGTTAATTATCCACCAACTTACTAGAAGAGGGAGAAATAGTTGGTCACAATAGCATTGTTTCTAAGAAATTAAAAAAAAACAAAAGACAAGAGAGCATAAAGTTGTAAAGTGGAAATTTTTGAGTTGTTTTAGATCACTACTATGGTATATAATGTCCAACTAAGCACAGTCAATGAGAATACTGAATAGCCAACTCTCATACAAAAGGTAAGTTCCAACTCCAACATATATTTTTAGAAGCAATTTAACCAATTCATGCCGAGAGACCTTAGCTGTAACATTGTGGCTTTTGGTATCAAAGATGACATTTACAATACTTTATGTTAAAACAAAACTAAGATATAAGAGGCAGGTCAGCCATGATGATAATACACTCTTGGACTCACATAAATGTGCCAACTTTTAGTTGCATCACTATTCCTCTACTAAACTAGTCCATGGCTCACATGATTTAATGGTATCACATACATAAGTTCATCTATTATGACCAATTTACAATGGTCCATAACTTATAAATAAATATTTAAAAAATGTAACTTTATATTTAAAGCTAAGAAAGGATCAATTGAACCGCCCAAATAAGAATAAGAATTGAAAATAACATAAGCAAATTCAACTAAAAGTTAACCCCACCAAAAATATTTGAGTTTTTTTCTTTTCATTTTTCCATGGCTTATTACCAAATTGACCTTTCAAATAGTACCTACTTTAATCAATAAACAGTGTCATAGGTAGGGGTGTACAAAACTAAACCGGCCCAATAAAAAACTGCAAAATCGAACCGAACCAAACTAAAACCGCAAAAAACCGTATTTGGTTCGGATGCGTTTGGGTCATTTTCTCGCGGAACCGCACGGTTCAGTTCGGTTTGCGGTTTGTATTTTACAAACCGAACCAAACCAAACAAAACCGTATTATATTATAAAATCTTACTAACCAATATATATTTCTTTAATTCTTTAGAGAAATAAACATGTATTATGTGTATATTTTATCATACCTTGTATTATATTCATTTTAATTTATAAATCATAAAAAAAAAAAAATATTATTCATTTATAAATACTATTTCCATAAACTATATTTTATCGTATTCTTTGTATAATATTTATTTAAGAATGCAATCTTGTTTATATCATTCTTTAGATTTAGATAAAATTATAATACGCAATTTTATATATCAAATTATAAACTTATTTTGACAATTATAAATTTTTTTATGGTAATGTACGAACAATTAAACATAAAATTATATTTTCCTCTATATTTGTTTGTATGATTTAATAATTTTTTTTGTAAAAAATCGAACCAACCGAACCAATCCAAACCGCATTAATTTGGTTTGGTTTGGTTCGAATTTATTTTTAAAAGCCAATCAAACCAAACCAAACTGCGTGCTTTTTTCTCTTGCGGTTCGGGTGATTTTTTGCTTCAAAACCGCGCAAACCGCACCGCGAACACTCCTAGTCATAGGCATATTAGCATTTTTGTTTGGGATATGAAGCAAGCAAATGGATTGAGATTTGAGAGTACCAAAGGGGACCCACTTGAAAATCTCTTTTAAAATCATGATAAAAAATAAAAAACCACTTCACTAATAGAAAGTCCAAAGAATAACGGCCATGGAGTGGAACCTTTCATTTCAAGAGTGTGTGTGAGAGAGAAAGAGTGGAAGCATTTTCTCAATAGCAAGACAAAGGAAAGAATAGTTCTTGAAAAATTGAGTTAGTTTTATTAGGTTCCCTAAACTATAAGGGTTGCTTACGTGGACAAATCTTACACCGTTGGATTAAGAGTTGCGTAGTATCCTTAGTTGAGTACACGTGCTTCTTTACTACCCTCTCTCTTTTTTTATTATTTCTTTGCTTCCATGCATGGATTTCTCCTCCAAATATAGAAAAAGAGAAAAAGATAGAAAGAAAAAAATCAACTCTTAATAACACTTTTTATAAATCGAATATCCTCTTACTTTGATAAATATTAATTCCTTAAATAAAAAAAAAATCATAATAATTTGTGGATATTTTTAAAAAAATACATTGATAGTGAAGAGTAGTCTAGTTTGTAATTTTTTTTTTAAATTTAATACTTGATCTTGCGATCGATTAATTCAAAAATATATGATGGTTAACTTATAAATGTTTTATTCAAAGTTATTATATAATTTTATACGGACTGATCCAACACAGAAATAGTTGGCAAGTAGCCGATTCGATTTGATTTTTGGTTGTTCTCTCTTTTCCTTAGATTGTTAATATCCATCATTAAGAACAAAAGTAGCAACACAAGACAACTCTTGAAGTTTTGATGTTTTCTTCAAAACTCAACCACCGAAGAAGCTAGTAGTAACTAATTGGAAAGGGTACTTAGCTTTGCTTTGCTTCACTACTCATTCTCTCTCTTTCACTCTTTCTTTCTTTCCCTTTTTTCCTGGCTTAGATCTTGCACTACCTTGTAATTTTCTCCAAACTCATATCACACTTTTTCTTGTTTTCCTTTCTTATCTCATCCATTTTGATCTCAATGGAAAAACATCAAACTCAAGAACTCAAACACTCTTGCAAATTTTGCAACAAAAGTTTCCCTTGTGGTAGATCCTTAGGAGGTCACATGAGGTCTCATATAAACAACTCATCAGCATCATCTGAAAAAACAGGACAGAAAGAAAAGCTTGATCCAATCAACAATGGTTGCATTGGTTCTGAAAACAATGGTAGCTATGGCTTAAGAGAGAATCCAAAGAAAACATGGAGAAAGAGAATTGCAGATTCAAGTGAACAAGGTTTGGTGTATGACAAGTTGTGCAAAGAGTGTGGAAAGTGTTTTCAATCTTGGAAAGCTTTGTTTGGTCACATGAAGTGTCATTCAGAGAAAGAAAGAGTTTGCAACAGCTTGGAGGATCAAGATTCATGGACGAATGACGCCAAAGATGTCCATTCGGATAACGAAATCACTGCGCCGAGTAGAAAAAGAAGATCAAAGAGAACAAGAACAAGGTATAATAGCGTAGTAGTAGCTGCTGCTGCTGCTGCTGCAACTTGTTCTTCTGTTTCTGAAGTTGAACAAGAGCAAGAAGAAGTTGCTATGAGCTTGATTATGCTTAGTAAAGATGTTAGTCCTTGGAGTGGTCTAGCTGAATCTTCGGATAACAATTCTCGATCTTCTGTTCGAACTAATCTTGTTACTAAATTCAATGCTAGTGCTAGTACTAGTACTATGAATATTGCCAAGTTGATGAAGCATAAGAGATTCCACTTGAAAGAGGATACTGAAAGAGGAATTAAGATGAAATCTAGGAAATTTGAGCTTGATTATGTGTCAAGAATGGATGATTCAGAAGGTGAGAATGGGAAAAACATAGTGAATGGAACAGAATTGGTTACTATGGGAAAATTCGAGTGTACTACTTGCAACAAAATGTTTCATTCATATCAAGCTCTTGGAGGTCATAGAGCGAGTCATAAAAAGAACAAAGGATGTTTCGCTTCGAATGATCTATCTGGTGAACCAACAACCGAAAGCAAGATCATGAAGATTATTCATAATCATAACAACAATGAAGATATTCAAAACATGAAGATCAAAGGTCATCATGAGTGTCCAATTTGCTTTAAGGTTTTTCAATCTGGTCAAGCTTTAGGTGGACATAAGAGATCTCATATGGTTGTTGCTTCTTCTTCTGGCGCTGGTTCTGAGACTAGAGTTCCACAGATTAGAGACTTTCTTGATCTTAATCTACCTGCTGCTACTGAGGAAGGAACTAGTAGTCATGCTGATTCTAACAGACCTTGGTGGATACTTGAAAGTAACCATAAACAAGAGGCACTTGTAGGATAGAGACTCTTAGCGTGTGCCCTTTCTTTATTTCATCATCATTGGTTCAACTTCAGACTCAAGATTTTAACTGTATAGAAATACTTCTGCATTTATTTCATTCATTCTTTACATCATTCATGTATTCTCCAACCTATTTTTCTATTTTCTCATTTTTGTTTTTGTTTTTCAACTAGTATGTGAAATGAACTTTCCTCTTTGTTTTCTTTTTTGTTTTTCGGATACTACATATTCGTACTTTGCCCATAATTTGTACAAACTTTAATCTCAACATTTTACTTCTAATCGCGACAACATGAAATGGTAAGGGATCTCTTCTAACTTAATTAGAAGTCTTGAGTTCGAAGTTAATCTTGAACACGCAACAATATTAAATTATTGTTCATTGTAGTCTACTACTCTGATTCGAGGTATTTCTATCTCCAATTGTGTACAAAGAATCCCTATTTAGATCTTGCATTATAGAAATGTAGTTAAATTGTATAAATTCAAAAAGTGAAATGGTTGTGGGATTATATATGCAAGAAAGACAATGAATGGGGATAGGTCCTAGCTAGAAGTGATTACATAACACATGAAGAGATAGAAAGATAGAATTTATAATACTAGACATAAAGAAAGCATGTGAGCTCAAAGGTGGTTGTTTAGTCACCTACCATAAAAACCTGACTACCCATCCATCTCTTACTTGGCAGACACACAACTGGTGTGTGCTAATTAATCCTTCTCACTAATTACTCACATTATTATTAATAATTAATCAACACACTGAGGTGGATAGCTGGACCACTACTCTATCTAACAAACTTTAACTCACAAGAAAATTAAACTCACTTCTTAAAAATCACTTTTTTTAATTAAATATATAAATACTATAATTTAGATGAGTTTACTTGGTTTTATTAGTAGTGCCTGATGATGATGCTGTTTTTGTCCTTGGTTCCATAAAATAAATTGCACTCAATGCTATGCAATCTGAACAGTGCTTTTTTTTTTTTATAAGTCCCTTCTTTTTTATAACTCGAATAAAAGAGAATTATAATAAGGATCGAAAAATATCTTCATTTTAATAAGAGAATTTAAGTTTAAATTCACCTTATTATATAATCTTTTCTAATTCGTAACTGCAATTATTTATAAAAAATACACAATTTTTACAGAAAATTCATTTTTCAATTAAAAAAAAAAATTGAACAACATTAGAAAGTAAAAACTTATATTTTTTTCACTAATAATACTTCTATATTAAATTGTTATTCCCTATATCAGCCTTACATCATTCTCTAAATTGACATAATATTTTCTACATTAAAAAAGATAAAGTCTGAATCTGATGGAAACAACAAGAAAAGAAAAAAGCTAAAATACATATAGTAGTCGTCAACTTAGTTTATAGATAGAGTCAATGGTTATTTAGAAGTTTGATTCCTAAATGTGTTCATAGTGGCACAATTTAATAACAGCATTACCATAACATAATATAAAATGGAAATTAGGATCAGATTAACTCTTGATCAAAATGTGTCTCATGCACTAAAAAATAGACAAGTGGCAATTAGTTTGTTATTAGTATATGGTAGGTGTCGTGAATTAAACAACAAATGATTAGTTCAGCTTTTATTGGATCTTGGGTTATCAGTTTTAATTAAACGTGATGTCAGAGACTCAAGAGAACAGATAGTGTGTTTATATGTGTTATGTAGCATTATTACTAGTTGAATAACAAAAAAATAGTAGTGGTTTGGTTTTAAATCACTGATAAATAAATAATTGGTTGTAAAAAATAAACGATTGAAATCAGATATACTACTAACATATGAAATAGATTTAGGAATACTTACTTAGATTATTTAGATTTTTTATTATTTTTAGTTATAATTTTGAGAGAGAAATAAATTTATGTACCTTTTTACTATAAATTGAAGGATATTTTAGGAAGTTTAAATAATGTGGTATAGATCTAATTGAAGGGACAAAATAAATATTTCGAATATTGAGAGGTGCAAAAAGTAACCAGTAGAATCACACTCTGTATAAACCAAGACCGACACAAACAAAATAAGACCGTTATTTTGCGAGAATTTAACATTTCATTCTTATGTCATTTTTTTTAAAGGGTATGAAAATATCAAATTATTTAAATTTAAAAAAAATTTACAAATTTACAAATTTTAAATTTTCAATATCTTATTATATTTTTTAAATTTACTGGATGATATCGAAAATTTCGTAAAATAATAAAAAATTTACGGTGAATTTGTATAATTTCCAATGTATTTTGTATCCAAAATTTCGAAATATTTCATATATTTAACCGAAAATTTTGAAATTTCTAGATTTAGTATTTATGTTTTGTACCGGAAATTTCTAAATTTCTGATAATTCATATTTTCTTAATTTTTTCCCCTCCTATTATTCACTGTTTCAGTAAGGACCATGGGCAAAGATTGTTGAAAATCCATCAAAATTTATGATGAATTTCTATCAATCTTGATGAACAAGATTGTTGTCACCACACAATAATAATGAATTATATGAAAGAAAGAAAGAAAAATAGATAATAATTTTCTGTAAAGTTTCTCTTTGTCCACAAATTATGGAAAACTTTGTTATTCACTTGCAACTGCAAATTTTGTGAATACAACTTAATTGACTTGACTACAAAAATAGGGGTTACTCCCTCTATTTATAAATTTATGTTAGCTTGCTCCCTAAGGTAAAGCTCAAAACTATGAAAGCCCAAAATACTTCTTTTATAACTAAATCAAATCTATCTATTTTAGATCTAAATCTAAAATCAAATTAAATCTATGTGTAGCACGCTTCGATCCACAAGCTCTTCGACTAAGAAATAGTTTCGATCAAACAACCTGCTTCGATAACCTCTAACCCTTCAATGCACATAGTTTCGACACACAAGAATTACAATTTAACACACCACCTAATTCATTGTGTCTAAACTATATATATCAGTATAGCTCTTAGTCTTCGAAATACTTTGACTTTCACTCTCTTCGTCATGATGTATGCAATTTGATTCTCCATCCTGCAGTATTCCAAGTTCATCTTCCCATCTACTACCTGCTCTCGAATATAGTGGAACCTCATTTCGATGTGCTTGCTTTGACTGTGAGCTATCAGGTTCTTCGCTAGATTGATAGCTGATATGATGTCGGTCTTCATGGTGATTGCTCCATAATCTTTACCTGTTATCTCTTCGACCAAGTACACCATCCATGTTGCTTGACATGCACAAAGAGAAGTCGTTGTGTATTCTGCTTCGCACGATGATAATGACATTATTGGTTCCTTTCTCGAACTCCAAGCAACTGGTGCACCACCTAACATAAACATATAATTAATTATGGATTTTCGATCCTCAACATCACTACACCAACTTGAATCAGTGTACCCCACTAACTTGCATTCTTTTCCCTTATCAACTGCAGGAAATAAAATGCCATAGTCGAGAGTTCCTTTGAGATACCTCAATGTCCTCTTTGTCACTGCTAGGTGTGATACCTTAGGTTTATGCATGAATCTATTCACCATACCTACACTGTATGCTAAGTCATGCCTTGTGTGACAAAGGTATCTTAATGACCCAATAAGTCTTCTGTATTGGTTTGGGTCGACATCATCTTCTTCTGCATCTTTTGATAGTTGCAACCTTGGTTCTGCAGGTGTCAAAGTCGAGTTGCAATTTTTCATCTCAAATCTTTTGAGAATTTATCCTACATATCTTCTTCGATGCATCATCAAACCTATATTGCTCTTGTAAAACTCAATGCCAAGAAAGTATGAAATCTCACCTAGATCATACATTTCGAATTTCTTGCTGAGATCATATTTGAAGTCTTCGATCTCGTTCCTGCAGCTATTTAAAGTCATCGACATAAAGACATAGTTTTGTACCCCAAAATTTACCTTCTCATTTCTCAAGACATTTCTCACAAAGATCTTCAAAGGCTCAAGTTTGCACAAGTGTTAACTAGGTCAAACTATCTCCTAAACACTGATGCCTCAAATTAGGGTTTTGATTTTCACAAAGACAATTGGACTTCTAATACCTCAAATTACATTCATGGATCATTATAGACCTTCAAAAATACTCATGTCAAATTTCAAGTCTTGAAATCACAATTTTGCTCAGACAATTGACCAGATGACTAAAAATCAGCTGTATTGAGTAAAAAGTCAACTATGGTAACCTTACAGCCAAACTTCAATATTTTTTACCAATATCAACATTTTGAAGTAATATGCATCAATTGATCAAGTTCGGATCACAATTCCTCAAGAAAAATGTTCAAATCATCAAAAGTGCAAAATGGTCAAAATTAGGGTTTTGATTGAGAATGACTGATTCTTGACTTTTGAATTAATACATGACTTATTAGTTTGAAATATTATATAAAGGATTCAAATGCAACATGTTGACCTAATTTCATGGTTCAAAACATTCCTCGATATCAATGGATTGATAGTTGAAATTTGATCAACTGATGAAAAAGTCAATTGTACACCAAAAAGTCAAACTTTGACTTTCTGATCAAATTTGAATTTTAAAGATCACATTTCATCAAGGGATTCAAATATATAAAGCTTGATCGTCAAGAAATAAAGAAATTCAAAAGTCAATTTAAAAAGTCAAACTTTTCAAGACTTAAAATTTTTTTCTAAGTGTTTTCATACATGATAATTTCATAACTTCATGCCAATTTTTCATCAAGATGCAAGATGATTCAAAGAAAATTTTCAACATGAAAGTTGAGATCTACAACTTTGCTTTGATGATCAAGTCCTATAAGTGCTTGGATTTTGAGTTATAAATTCCTAAAGTCATGACATTTTTCATAAAATACTTAAGAGAAATTTTCAATAGGTTTTGGTCAGTTTTTATCTCAACTTCTTGGAAAATTTTCATCAATTTCCAATTTTATTTAGCCAAATTTGTAACATGAAAGTTGTAGACAATTATTCAAGCTTTCCAAAATGTCCAA